AAAACCGGTCATTTGTTGCGTGGACCAGGGGGGGGGTGTGGAGTGGAACGCCAAGGTGCGGGTGCGCTTGCACTCCCGCTGGGTATACAGGTGGTGGGCATGATTAGCAGTCATCATCCTCGTCCTTCTGACCACTGTTGGGGTTTTGTTATTGTTGCTGGTGTTGTTGGTCAAGAACCTGGTTATTTGTTGTGTGGACCAGGGGGTGTGTTTAAGAACGCCAAGGTGCGGCCGCGACTGGGCCATCCATCTGCGCCCTCCCTCGCCTCCGGTCTTCTTGATTTTGTCTTGACACCGGGTCCAAGTGGGTAGCGGGGAAGAGAGAGTGCGGTAAACGTTTCGCAAGTCTACTATGCCTATACACCAATACATGCGCAAGTCACCGTGCCCGCTGCACCTTAATGGGTAGCACACGGTGGATATCGTCAAAAGCGGCGGTGAAATTGTCGTTAGTGGCACGAAAAATCACAGATTCGTCTTAATTTCATCAGCTCATCTTTACCGGTGGATAGATTGTCCAGTACCTAAACTAAATCAGCTTTCCGAGGATGTGGGAAGGTTGGATGTTGGAGAACACCGATGCCGTTGAATTATTCGGGTCAAATGCGATTACAGGTGTGCAAATATGGGAGCTTACAGAAGAGCTGTCAGCCTTGCCCATCATTCAAAATTGCGATTTATTTCTGACGTCTGTTAAATGTCAGATGTCGTGCCGATTAAGAGAAGCGTTTTAGGACCACAGGCTACCAACTAAAAACCAATCAGCTTGATCTATGTGTCCCGCAAGATAAAAGAAACGAGTGCCGGGCAGAAAATAACTTCGTCTGCGGAACCTAATACCACCTGAAACGAAACCTCGGGCAAAGTCATATTTGATAATAAATACAGTAAGTGACCGATCTCATGAAATGTTGACTGAAATCCTGAAATGTGTTTTCGATTAGGAAGGATTACTTGGTAGCGGTTGTAATACTGATTATCTTACGGTATACTCTTATAACATTTCGGATTCAGCAGGATGTCGGCTTTTGAATGTACTTTTTTTCAATCTCCTGTAGAAAGCGTGCTTGGTAAAAAAGGATTACTTAAGTACCATGCACTTCCCCATTGATTTTCGATGGTCTTGCAAATTCAAATATATTTTATAGAGACCATGAACAAAAATATGCTTTCTTTTAATCGATCAATAGATAATCACGTCTTCTTTATATTTTATACTTAAGGAAGGAGTATAATTAGGTTTTAAAAAAGTTTTTCAATTGCTGAAAAATTCGAAGTCTGATCATTCGTTGAATTAGCGCTTAGGGATTACACTCTACAAGGTACATGCGTTCCGCGTAAAGAAAATCACATATTTTTATATGCTATTAAAGAGATATCATACAGAGTCCATTAAATTTTGCAATGGATGCCGACCATGTTGTACATTTAATGAGGAGCAGTGGTAAACGGCCAGGCACGATGTTATGTGAGTAGACATTTCGCGGTCTTAAAAAGTCTCCTAATTAGAAACTTTTTAAAACCTAATTATCCTCCTTAAGTATAAAATATAAATAAGACGTGATTCTCTATTGATTGAGTAAAAGAAAGCATATTTTTCTTTGTGGTTTCTATAAAATATGTGTGAATTCGCAAGACCATCGAAAATCAATGGGAAAACTGCATGCTACTTACGTAGTCCTTTTTTACCGAGCACGCTTTCTACAGTAGATTGAAAAGGAGTGCATATAAAAGCCGACATTCTGCCGAGTCCGAAATGTTATAAGAGCATGCTGTAAGATAATCAGTATTACAACCGCGATCAAGTAATCCTTCCTAATCGAAAACGCATTTCGGAATTTCGGCCAACATTTCATGAGTTCGGTCACGCACTGTAAATTTACCTACGCATACATATATACATGTATGTGCATATATGCACCATATGTACACATTTGTACGGATGGTGAGGGGACATTCACCGATTGTTCTTACGGATGTCGTCCCGCTGTGCCTTATAGGCTCTTACCTGAGCCTAATCAGCATCAAGACTGCAGCGCGCAATATGGGCAGAGTAACATTGCCGACAAAGACAAGGGAGACTGAAACGTTCGTTTCTGGCTTATTAACCGTCGTCAGCCGGTCGACGAGGGAGAGACCCAAGTCACAACATGACGATGGAATTTCGAAAAAGGGTCCGTGAATGGCTTTCTACCCCCGTGTATTCCAAATCGCAATCGACAGGACAAGGAGCCCGTGACTCAGTGGTTAGGGGCGTTAAAGGTATAACTGAAAGGCCAGGGGATCGATTTCTAGGTGGTCCACACTTTTGGTCTGGGTGTGGCTGACTGACGGTAGCTAAAAAGCCAGAAATAGGCATTCCAGTCTCATTTGTTTTTGTCTTTCTGCATATACATATATATTTAAGCGGATTTGCTGTTGTGGCTTTCAAAAATGTCCCCTGCTCTTGAGGAGAAAAGGATAGAAAGTTCATTCTCATTTTCATTTTTTGTCGTCAACTTAGTCCAGAAAGTTCATTTTCTAAATTGTCAATAAGTGACGATGCTAAGGAGCAAGTTTAGGAGGGGAAGATCAACAGATCATTTTCTTGTAGAAAAATTCATTATAACCGATTAATTTATGTCGTTTAAGTTAACCTTGAGCGTACAACATTTTGTAATTTCCCCGACGAACCCTTCACGCAGGTTGGGCTGATTATATTGACAAATTCCCTAAACTGGCAGAAACCTCACAGTCAACGCTGGGTTGCCTATTGGGGAGCTGAAACTCCTGCAACTGTGTCATATTACTGGCGAAACGTGTGTCTGGGTTTCCAGTCACCACCTGTACGGTATGGTGTAAATCATGCAGCATTCATATACTACTGATTACCTGTCGGGAGTCAGTGAATATTACGTGGTTGTCCCGCTGCTGCTGACGGAATTCGACTCAAATATCCATGTCAACTTACGAACCGAACTTCTAAGGCCTTCTCTGCGCTCATTTACTCCATGGTGCAATTAGCGCTTGAGAAAACCGAAATGCTGAAATTTCGAAATTGGACAGTCTAACAGAAGGTACAGGGGTGATGCTGGGGGGCTTCAGTGATGTGTCGACACCTTTCTTAGCTGTTTCACGCAGCGATGGACCACGTATGTGGGTTTCAACTTTAGTGCGTTTGTTCTCATTAGCGTAAATCGTCAAACATATAAATTGTTGTTGAAAGGTCAATGGACCACCCATTGCCCTAGTTGCAACGGAGGGCTCGCCTCTAGCACTCTCATCGATTTCATTTGGATTAACTTCATTACTGGCTTGTTGTTTAGCTAACCTCTCCATTTATAGAACAAACAATAAAATTCTTTGAGTGTTATTTTATTCAAAGCATTATGCTCATGAGTGAGCTGAATGGATCTTGAAATCGATGCTCTCAAGTTAACTACAAAACTTGCAATACAAGCTTACACTCAAGTTGGACAACAAATCCCACATAAAGTGAAATTTACAATTAGTAATGTCAACGAAAGGACAACGTTAGCTGAAGGGTCAAATACTTTTTAAATAAATCCTGTCCAAAAATCGGGAGGAAAGTTCGTTTCAAAGGGATATTTAAAAAGGTAGCAAATTAAGGCTTTAGCATTCTGCAGTTTTGACAATCTCAGCACTCAAACTTGGTTATTTATCAAAGCGAGTTAAAAATATATTTGCTAACATTATAGACATTTAAGTCCCATGCAGTTCTAACGATATCTCACAACTGATCATCTGCTTAGCTATAGTCATGAAAAATCAACCGGTTGTGCCTGTTAAAATACTTATTTCACCCTGAATGTTTCAGCAGCTAACAATAAAACAAATCGACGCTTCTTTTCAAGGTTAAGGAAATATACAGTACCTGTGCTAACTCATGAAATGCCGAGTTAAAAATTATAGTGGACAATGTAGTGTATTTTTGATGTCGTTATTTGTGTTTATTTGGTTGAAATAAGGACGAAAAGACCGTTTTCTGAAGGAAAGTTTGATACGGATCTGTATATTAAATAGAAAACGGGCCGGATTAAGGCGAAATCGGAGGATTCCTGATATTCAAGCAGTTTCCTACGCTATTAAAGCTTTCGGATGGAAATTCTTTGTGTAACCTTATTAATCTGTTTAAGAAGATTAATAAAAGGACGAAATTTTTTGATAAACTTTCGAACAAAAAGAAAAAATTAAATTTCAATATCAACAAAATCAGGGAAATGCAGATAAATTATTTCTTATTGTGTTCAGGAAATAACGTGCGATTCTTTATCTTAAAATTCTATTTTACAAATTCGTAAAGTTTTATGTTTCAAAATACCGAAATAAAAAAGTTTATCAGTGTGATTGTTTTACCAGACTGAAAATGCGTGTCGTAAACGAATATATATTGAGTTCGCGCGACATGCCGTCACTTTGCTCTGCCACGCCAAACGATAACTATGTCTAAACAATACTTATCCGAAGTTGACTTCCAGCGCATTCGAAAATTAGCGGCGGAAGGAATCCCGCGTGAGTCGTTAGCTAATATTTTCAATATTAGCAAGGTCACTCTGTGGCGCATTATTAATGATAAAACTGTTCCTAGAAATAAGATAGGGGGACCAAAACGGTCCACAAGTAAGCAAGACGACGATTTTATTCGTAGTACATTAAAAAAGTTTCATTACATGCCCATTGAGGCCATTCAGCGGGAACATCTGCCGATGTTTTCTATGAACATCATTAGAAAAAGGATGAAGGAATTTGAACTGCAGCGGCGGAAGGCCATGATTAAGCCATATTTAAGTAGAAAACTAATTAGAGAACGGCTTTTATTTGCTAAGAATTATATTGAATACAGATCTTCATTTTGGAAGAGCATTTTCTTCTGCGATGAGGTTCTATTTTTAGACAAGCCTACGAAGTCGCTCCAAACTGTCATCTGTGGAAAGAACTTCCCAAGAGAACATACTACACCGACGGCAACATTCAAGAACTGTCGGCGGATGATGGTTTGGATGGCGATTAAATTCGGTGAGCGGCCTGTCTGGCGGTCAACATCCGACACCATCAACAGCAAGGTGTTCATTGCAATTGTCAAGGATGCTTTCGGCTACAACGGCATAAGTCGGCGCCGAATGGATACTGTAATTTTGCAGGACAATGCACCTGTCCACCGCTCTAAAGAGGTACGAATTTGATGCCGCTTGCAAACATAATCTAACATTTTAGACAACAACCACGCTCTCCGCAATTGGCCTCCAATCCATTTTCATCCCTGCCAACAGTCCCGACCTTAATCCAATCGAAAATCTTTTTGGAATAGTCAAAAGAAATTGGCACAAAGCTAAGAAGACTCTTTCAATGCAGGAAAAATTGGATTTCATACTCAATAATTACATTTTACAATCCACCGTAGATAACCTTGTCATTTCTATGTCGGACAGACTTTCTGCTGTTATTAATTCGAATGGACAATCTACAAAGTACTAATTTTTTGTATCTGTTTCTGTCCTTAATTATTTTTGACCTTTTATGCGCCCTCCTCCTTTATACGTCCTCATACGTAGCCTTTATTAACTTAGTTGTAATATAGGCGTTTCTCGAAAATGTGACTTTTGTCGAAAATTATTTATTTTTATCTCAGTAAATAATATTTTCTTAACCAAACTTTGCTTTATTTCTTTGGCACATCGTTTATTTTCCGCTATCAGACTTTGGGAGCCGTAGTGTTTACCAATTTTGCGTTAAAGGCGTTAACCTGTGTTAATTCGTGACATTTCATGAGTTAGCACAGGTACTGTATATCTGTAGACTGCGCAGTCGAAGTTACGCATAAAATCCCAAACCTCGGACTTCTGTTCTAACATTGCTTCTTACGCGTAGTCCGACCGCTACGTTGCATTAAAATCAAAACGTACCGGAGTTCTCTCCAATGAAGGTCATGATCTTTTTAGCATCCTCCTGGGTCACCTTATCCAGAAGTTTCGAAAGGAGTTGATGGTAGACATTTGGAGCAAATTTTAGCAGAGCGCCAAGCAATGCTAATACCAGAAAAGCAGCCTACATGTCGATTCACAAAAATAGGAATTAGTTCGTGGTAAAATTTTGCGTGCCAAGCATGCTATTTGAAAAGCCTGTCAGTAGATAATCTGCATTAACTAGCGCAAAAACGTCAGCATAAATCCTGGTCATGTTATTTAAGAAGATGAAGCTGGTCCTCGGAAATGCTTAGTTTTCTTAAATCACACTAAGGAATGTGGAGAAAAGCTACAATAACTTAAGCAGCAGGTAGATAACGTATGAATGAGCTACAGAACTGACATTAAAAAGCTTAGTGTCGTACTTTATACTTTCATAAAGCTTTCGAATTTATACAATTCGTGGGCTTTTCACTCGAATACCTTCGTTTTTATAAAAAAAACAACATTGATTGAATGCATCGTTCATAGTAATAGTAAAATACGTACGGCAAGGACTCCGTTGATTGTCGTAATGACACATTTTAAAAGTGATCGGACGAGACAGCACATATTGCGGCGGCAACTCTTTTCTGAGGAAATAAATGCAAAATGCTTTAAAAAAAGTTCAGTCAGTTAGAATTGTTAAGAAGAAGACTTGCTAATTAATTTTAGGGTCCGGCAAACGTACTATAATCGTTCAATGTACCTGGAGGTTTTTGTTGCGATAATCAGCAGTTAATCGTTCTCAATGACAGTCGAACGAAAAACCGACATATTTAGGTGAGGGTTGATCACACCCACACTCCCAAACACACACACGCAGATCAAACGCAACTAGAGATTTTCACAGACGCACATAATTGGTGTGCGTTTAGTTCGATGGTTTCACATAACGCAAGAACCAAAGAGCAGCGATCGTGCCGATGACGCAATAAAAGTTCAGTACTCGGTTGGTTAATTGCGTACTTCTCAAGATACCTCCTCAGGATAATCATAGGCCACAAGCAACCCATTCAGAGTCTGAATCTATAACATTTGAAGCTAATTATAATTTGAAGGGTTATGTAACCCGTCTGTAAGTAAATCCTCCTATGGGTTGTCAATGCACTAGAATTTCCAGTAATGATTTAGTGCCTTCAATATATTACTCAGATGCCCATCCAGTACTTGCACTACAGTGAGTGACCGATCTTATGAAATGTTGTCTGGAAATCGGATACTATTTGATTAGGAAGGATTACTTAAGCGTGGTGGCAAAACTGATCTTCTTGCGGCATAACTCCATAACATTTCGCACTAGACAGGACGTCGACTTTTGAATTCACGACTTTTAAATCTCCCGTAAAAACTGTATTCGGTAATAAATGACTACTTAAATAGCATGCACTTTTCACATTGATTTTCGATGGTCCGGCAAATTCAAATATATTTTTAGAAACCACAAACAAAAATATGCTTTCTTTCAGTCGTTTGATAGAGAATCACGACGTCTTTATATTTTATGCTCGAAAAAGGGATAAAATTAGGTTGTGAAAAAGTTTCTAATTATGAGATTATTCAAGGCCGTGCAATGTCAATTCATACAGAATCGTACCTGTCCGTTTACTAATGCTCCTCATGAAATTTACAACACAGTCCGGATCCATTGCAGAATTTTATGGATCCTATATGGTGTCATTTTAAAGGCATAGGAGACTATGTGATTTTCTTTACGCGAAACGCATGCACCTTGTAGACTGAAATCAATTAGTGCTAATGCAATGGCTGATCAGGCTCCAAATTATTCAAATTATTCAAAACCCAATTATACTCTTTTTGGAGTATAAAATAAAGAGACGATGTTATTCTTTATCAAGCGACTGAAAAAAGCGTACTTTTTTCGGGGTTTCTATAAAATATATTTGAATTTTCAAGACCATCGAAAATCATTGTAAAAAAGGCATGCTACTTAAGCAGTCATATTTTTACCGAGTACGGTTTCTACAGAAGATTAACATGTGGGGCATTCAGAAGCTGACATCCTGCCGAGTCCGAAATATATTAGGACTATGTCCCATGATAATGGATGTTTCAACCCGCCTAAGTAAGCCTTCCTAATCGAAAACACATTTCAGAATTACAGCCAACATTTCATGAGATTGGCCAATCACTGTAGATTAATGCACACGCGCATTTCGCACAAATGATGGTACGGGATGTGCCCAATAACAAATATCAGCCTCGTTAGATCGGAGTGGTGACTTTAGAGTGAATTACTTATAGTGAGGCAGGCTTTCGCAGCATCGTCCGCACCCTTATATACGCTCTCGACTTGTCCTAATCAAACCGACTGGGAATGAGATTTGAAGTAAACCACAAACACACAGCTTAGCCCATAAGGCTCCATAGGGGCCAGGCTCGGACCTCATTTAAGTAAGAATGGCATTCGCTCAGCAGTATTGCTGCCATAACAAAGTCTGAGTGCTCGATGGATGGCCTCTTATTCATATGGCTCCATTCTCCGGCAGCACATGGTAATAAGTACCACCGGGTGATGCAAAAGTTCGATCGTTGATTCCGATGACGTCCACCGTGTCCTCCACAACAAGGTGAGGCAGGGACGGTGACTTGCGCGTGAATTAGTTTATAGTGAATGTAGACTTGTGCTGTATCTACCGCACTTTTCCTCCCCACTCCGCACCGGAACCCGGTGTCAAGACAGAGTCGAGGAGACCGGAGGCGGGGGAGGGCGCAGTTGGCTGACACGGTCCAGCCCGCACCTAGATGCGCCAACACGTCCCCTCGTCTACAACATACACTTGATCAGGACTTTTCAACAACAGAAACAACACCCCAACAGTTGGTAGAAGACCGAGGATAATGACTAGGCAGCCAGGCCCACCACCTTTATGCCCAATGAGAGCGCAAGCGCATCTGTGGGCAGGGATCCAGTTGGTGGGGAATTGCCAGCGCATACCAGGCTGCGAGGGCCGTATTTTGCTGATCATAGCATAGCACACTCTTTCAGGCCTTTTGACAATCGGGTGATGTTGGTGACAATGCCTTGTATTCCAGGAGACTTAAGGTTTGGGTTAGGATTAATTTTGAAATAAGGACATGGAAAATAGGGGTTCGTTCTGGGAGTTAGCGCAAGACCGTTTGTATCACTAGGCGGGCTTTCCGATTCCCATGTGATTCGGACAGCGACATATAAAAGATCCCTACCCGTCTCTTCATTAACACGCCGGTGAATGATGCTTGGATTACTCTAACGGCTTCTCCTTTGCTGGGTAGTCATTATTGTAGGAGCCTTAGTTCTGCATACCGTTGGTATTTGCAGACTGCTCTAATTGATTGCTTAGTCTGGAGTGGCGGTATCTGAAAACCAGGGGTGGATCCGGGTTAAAGATGGAGACACGATCTCTGGAACAAGAGCTTCATTAGTCTGACGTTTCGGATTCCTGCTCGAATCCATCATCAGAGACAACAGTAGATACGGGTGCTTCATGCACAAGGGGCTGCAGTACTTATAGGAAGTAGTCGTCATCCTACCGCATATCTATGAATATTCACGGCTCCCTCTTCCTCAGGGGTCGTTGCAGTTGGTGTGCTAATTGTTTGAGGGCCGACATTGGAGTCGTTAATTGCTGCAATTTCATCACGTGCGTTAGATGTTGGTGTGATGATGGCTCGACCACCTGACGCACCAACCCTGGAGTTGGGAAAAGTGTCAACTTGTGCGCTCCCTGTGTGACCAATTACTCCGCTTAGGCGGTCTCAGTATGAAAGGGGAAGGTTATTGCACTTGTTAATGGACCGGGGTCAGTACACCATGATTCAAGTAGCTCCCGGCTCACGCGGTTGACACCTCTTGCAAGAATTTTGGCCTCGTCGAATTTGAATGTGCGGCCGGATCTCATCGAACGAGCCACAACTTCAGAGCTGGCGTCATTTCTCCGCACGGCTGCAGCGTGTTCGGCCATTCTCGTTCGGAGCTGTCTTCCGGTTTCTCCGAACTGGCTGTCCTTTTACAGTCTCCGCTTGCTTGCTTAATCATCAATATACAGTAGATGTGCTAACTCATGAAATGTCATGGTCGACATTCGCGCCGTTAATTGCTGGTGTTGGGAAAAGTGTTCATTTGTGCGCTCCCCGCGTGACTAATTAATCCGCCTAGGCGAAGTCTCAGCACCGAGTATCGAAAGGGAAGGTCACTGCACTTGTTAATTGACGGGGGGACAGTAAACTATGATTCAGGTAACTCCCGACTCCGCAATTTCTCCAAAGCAACTACGTCGGAGAAACCGGAAGACGGATCCGAACGAGAATGGCCGAACACGCTACAGTGGTGCGGAGAAATGACGCCAACTCTCAAGTTGCGGCTCATTCGAAGAGATGCATGCCACACACTCAAATTCGACGAGGCCGAAATTCTCATAAGAGGTGACAACCGCGTGAGCCGGGAGCTACTCGAATCATGGTTTACTGGCCCCCGTCCATTAACAAGTGCACTGACCTACCCCTTCGATACTCGGTGCTGAGACTTTGCCTAGGCGGAGTAATTAGCCACGCGGGTAGCGCACAAGTGAACACTTTTCCCAACACCAGTGTCGGTGGATCAGCTGGTCGGGCAATCATCACACCAATACCCAACGCACGTGATGAAATTGTAGCAATTACGAAGCGAATGCCGGCCATCAAACAATTAGCACACCAACTGCAACGATCGCTGATTAACGGAGGGGGGAGTCGCGAATATTTATAGGTATGCGGTAGGATGACGACTACTTCCTATAAGTACTGTGGCCCCCTGTGCATGAATCATCCGTATCTGCTTTTGTCTCTGATGATTTGTTTAAGCAGGAATCCTTAACTTCAGTCTAATAAAGCTATTGTCCCAGCGATCGTGTTTCCTTCTTAAAGACTGCTTTCTGGGACTCGTCTCTTCGCTTCTATTGGTAGTTCTGGGTGTCAAAGCTGTTGACGATACTGACATCGAGGACGCCATTAATGTCTTATGCCCTGCCAACTTCACCTTGATGGATTCAAATATACTAACATGAGCTGGTATGCCTAAGGGTTGATGGCAGGATGTCGGCCGGCGTTGGATGCTGGTGTCTGAGTCCTCAGTATCTCTCTGGTTGTAATGTCTTTCGCTCTCTGCAGCATACTGTCGCCCATGACGGCATATTTGCTATTTATTCAACGTCGTACCATTAGTGGAGGAGTGTCCATTCGTTCTGCTGTCGTAGTTGGCATCCCACTTGCAGCCAAAGAGACAGTGCTTGCTTCATGCTAACTGCATCTAATTCGTTAAACTGCACGTGACCCCCAACTTTTTTGGGTTGGATACCTCCAGAAAGGAGGGGGAATCATGACGTAAACATGCGCGGAGAAACCTCTGTGGGTGGCAATATAAATCCTAAGGCTTGCGTTGACGAGATGTAGTTTAGTGGCCCCACTCCCAGCGCCTGTCATAACGCTGGGACCCTCCTGACTGTTTGCAAGTGCGCGCCAGGACTGTTGGGCATTCGCCTACTCAGCTCTCCATCTGGCCAATCAGATTCAAGGTCGAGTCAGACGTGCCCTGGCTCAAGACACAGTGACGCATTTCCTGGCACACACACTTGAGACGCCACTCTCCCAGAACCGGAGCACTTTCTCCTGGCTGCCAACCCTTTCCGATCCCCTCTCAATTTGCCCCGTACAGAATATGAAGCCCTCCTATCTAGCACAAATCGTCTACTTATGCGCAGATACACCCTTTTCTTCTGCTGTCTCTGATAATGGATTCAAGTGAGAATTCGAACCGTCAGGCGAATAAAGACCTTGTTCCAGCGATCGCTTCTTCTTCTGATCACCAGTCGTCTCTTTCCATTTGGTACCGGGCCTGGGGGTAGTGGTATCCAGGGTCACACTCGCGACTTAGACCTCCTCGATAGAAGAAATAAAGTCACGCAATCGCCTATTTAGAAGTAATTTTCCGCAGTTACAGTCAACTCCGCACCTCGTACTCATGGTTTCAGTACAACTTTAGTGACCAATGGTAGACCGTGAGGAGAAGAGCCACACAGCAGGACTCCAGCATTGATTAACACGGATTTGACAGAAGTCGGATTTGGACCGTTTTAACCGGTAATTACCGATTTGCCGAGTCCTAGAACACTGTCACAGTCACTTATAACAAACCCCTGTCAGTTCTGTCGATCTTAGTGTAGCTTTTGCCTGTTCCTCTTAGACTTTGGAACGGTCATACAAACTTCGTTATAGTATTACCGACAAAGACAAGGGAGACTGGAATGGCCATTTCTGGCTTATTAGCCGTCGTCAGCCAGCCATACCCAAGCCCGAAGTGTGGAACACCCGAGCCTCGAACTCGCGACCTGTTGGTTTAGAAGTCAACGCCTCTACTCACCGGGCCACGAGCCCGTTGCCTTGTCGGCCTTGGCCTTCGTTATTTATACTTGGAGAGGCATATACAAATTCGTCGGCGTTTTGAGTAAACCAAGGCCAGAATGGGCGATGGCGGCCGGGAACTGAAGGCTACCTGACAGATCGACCTATGATACCGCACGAGGTGTCAATAGTGAGACAGGTAGACTGATGCCACTGGTTTGGACCTACTTTACTTAAGTCAGCCAACCACAGTCCTGAAAATCCTCACAGAACATCTGTATCATTCCCTCGGTATCTCTACCGTTTCACCTCTGATTGCAGGGCTTAACAGAGTTCGGTTGTTGGAGATTTGCCTGTTTGTGACCTCTGTCATTCATTCGGAACTTGCCTGCTGTGGGAAACTAACGGGAAAGTGTGCGCATGTGAACGTATGCAGCAATCTAAAGATCTGAATTGACGTAGCGTAGGCTCATTAATTAGAGATTGTGGTCGCCGAGAGGTTATGTGTGGTGTGGTTAATGCATAAAAAACCTGCAACGTTTCTGTATCTAGCTGCCCGGATTTATGCCATCACGTGTGATTTTGTCACGGAAAGCATTACGGGGGCGACAGTCAATGTGAATGACCTCAGTGTGTGATACCTTTGATGTCACACCCAGCGTCTAACAGAGGCATGTTCATTCTCCAAATCTCTTTAAACGCATCACTGAATTGGCTCAAGCACATGCTCCGACAGATGACTCAAATGTTGTGGTGCCCGACGACTTCCAACGGCGAATAGCGCGTGAATTAAATAATATTAATGGTGGACCTGCGCAATGTCAACCGCGCTCTATTCTCCTGGAACCGGTGTGAAGACAGAGTCGTGAAGATCGGGTGCAGGAGAGGGCACAGGGAGCTGGCGCAACCAGACCCGCACCTTGGCGTACTACCATACCCCTGGTTCAGAACAAACCCTTGATCTGGTTTTTAACCAACAACAACCCCACAGAAGACGAAGATGCGATCACAGGAACAAGTCATTTATTGGCCTGACGTTTCGGATTCTCACTCGAATCTATCATCAGAGACATTCGCAGATAAAGGTGATGGTGGCACAAGGAGTGCAGCATGTATAGCACATGGCTGCCGCGGGACCATATGTGCAATGTAATTAACAGCTCTCGCCATCACCGCTGGAGTCGCAATTGATGCGGTAGTGGCTTGTCAGTCCGAGTTCGAGTCGCTAATGGCCGTGATTTTGTCATCCGTGCTGGAAGCTGGTGTGACGGTTGCTCGGCAAATTGGCTCACTGTCACTGGAATAATTGCTCGCCCGCGCCCTCCACACCAGACTGATTTCCCTGCCCCGGGGAAAATATCCGCACGAAATATGGTACCGGGAGGTCATTGTGCTTGTTGATGAATTGGAGGCCTGTGAACCATGACCAGAGAAGCTCGCGGCTAACGCAGTTGTCACCCCTTGCGAGGATTTCGGCCCCATGAAACTTGAAAATATGGCTGGGTCTCGTCGAATGTGCCGCCACCTGAGAACTAGCGTCTCCACGCCTCACTGTTGCTGCGTGCTCGGCAATTCGCCTACGGAGTAATCTCCCAGTTTTTCCGACATAGTTGCTTTGTCCGCAACTACACCAGATCCGGTAAACGACTCCTGACGTTTCCTGCCGTGACAGTGGGTCTTTCGGCCTCATAACTTGGCGCCTGATGGTTGCTTCCGGCCTGTGTGAAACCCCAACTCCAAGTGGAATGAAAAGACGACTGACGGCTTCCGAGACGTTTTTCATATACGGAAGAGCCTGCCAAAATTTGGGGCCGGTTGGACTTGGTCTCTGGTGTTGTTTTCGTATGCACTGGTCGCCAAAGTTGCGCAGGTAACCATTGAATCGCATTACCCGTCGAAGATATTGGAATTCGGCAACCTTGTCTTCCGGTTCACTACAGTGCGTCTCAACGCGCCCTTATATGGTCCCTACGCAACTGCGTTTGTGACTGATCGGGTGGTTGCTGTTGAAGTTCAGTATCTGCGTTGCATTTGTCGCTTTCCTGAACACTTTGGTTTTCATGCCATCACAATCTTTGCGGCAGACGAGGACATCCAGGAAGGCCAGCTGGTTATTTTCCTCCTCCTCCTCCTGCTCCTCCTCCTGCTCCTCCTACTCCTCCTCCTCCTCCTCCTCCCCTCCCCCTCCCACTCCCCCTCCCCCTCCCCCTCCTTCTCCTCGATCGTAAATTGAATGGACGGGAAGATGGCGCTGAGATGTTTTTTGAATGTCAGCACCTGATCCCGTTCGATGACGACGAAGGTATCATCCGCATACCGGGCCCAGGATTTCGGTCTGTGGTGTCGAAAAACCAGCGACTCCAGCCGTTGTGGGACCGCCTCGGCTATGAGTCCCGAAATCGGCGAAGCCAACGGGTTAAAAGTCGAGGATGGCAGGGCAACCGTGCTCATTACCTGTATACCCAGTTGGAGCGCAAGCGCATCTACCGGCAGGGAACGAGGTATCAGATAACTTCCAGCGCCTTATAGACTGCAAGAGACATGGCTTGCAGAATAATGGCAAAGCAGTCGCTCACAAACCTTAACGTTGCATACGACAGAAACGGTCCAGTATCGACCACCAACGTTGGCCAATGACGATCCTGTTTGACATTAAGACATTCCAAGGACTTTGAAGGTTAATCTGTCCAAAGAAAATTGATACGTTGATGGAATACCAGCGGCAAAGAGCGACCGGTAGTCATACGCAGTTTGCTTTGAACCATAATCAAATCTCAAAGGTCCAGATAGATCAAGCTGACAAAACGCCATTTTCAAAGAAATCCAATCGCCTCGCTTTTGCAGCCGAATACAAAAGTCCGGTCATGGCAAATAAGGACAAATTTGCGGTAGCAGCCGATCTCAACCACTTTTGGCAATTTTTTATGTGCACTTTGACCCAACTCTAAAAAACTGGGTGCTTCGGTGGGATTCGAACCCACGACAGTAGACGGTTAGAGCGATGGCTGTATTAAAGCCTTCCCCTGGTGCCGTGGGTACGAATCCCACCGAGGCACCGAGATTTTCACAGATGGGTCAAAATGAATTCTTTGAAATCTGCCAAAACACCTCTGAAATTTTTGTATCATGCAGGAAGTTAGGATCTAAAGTGTTGTCACGTAATTCTTCTAGAAATCTTCCCGGAAGAGCTTCAACTCAGTCTGAGAGCTTAATCTCCGCTAAATAAATTTTCTGGGCGTAAACGAAGCATAGCCTCTGAACGCGAACAATTTTCGCAGCTCATACGCATTTTAGTACTATTAATTGAGCCACGTGGTCTGAAGTTGTCTGGGGATTTTGTCTTCGAAAATAGAGTTTTCTTCCTTGCCATAAGACCCACCAACAGCCCATACCCTACCAGACCACCGCGACTGCTTGGAAATCTGCCAAAACCCATCTGAGACCAAAATATGTTCGGATACCGCTCCGCTCATAACCTACACTGACCTCTGAGGACATCTACTATGTTTTGCGCTGGGGGTCAAGCTGGCATATCGTATTCCGAAAGTTGAACTCCGGCCTACTGCAGTGGAAAACTAGCATTTGTGGTACGGAGAACTCTCTGAGCACGCAACTAATTGGTCCACTTCTGCTTGATGTTGCCATGCCTAAAAAAGGAGAATAAACTATAAATTTGGGTTGCTGTTAGTTTGCTGTTCAGCATTTAACTTCCGTTTGCGGATGAGACTAAGATACCTTTCATGGTTAGTACAGATAGGCCGTAGATTATGAACCCCGTCTGAGGTGCATGTCTCGCCCTACAAATTGGAAGCACGAACTCCTGGTCAAAGATCACCGCGCCTAATCCTTGGATCACATTGACTAGCACAGTAAAGTGCATTTTCAAACGCAAAACCTGGTAGATCCAGTCAAAATTTCCAGAAATAAGTTTGCTATGCTCAGACATTGATCCTTGACAGCCCTCGACCACATACCGTTCAGGCAGATGTATAGGAAACAATTCTCTGTTAGTGACCTTGAACCCTCATTACCCAGCATAGTCAGTATGAATCCGCTAAAGGCAGTTCCACCTCAAGAAGGACTCAGTTACTGAAATGGTTAGAAACTATTTATATTGGTCTCGAAGGCGAATCGAAACTGGTATCTAAATGGGTAATTGTAAGTAAGTCGGGCATTTTCTCCTTAGCCGATGGTGAAATAATGCTGAGTAAAAGTGGTCCGCCCATAGACATTTTTATGTCATCCAAGATGTCGGTTCATAAGGGCATTTCTCAAGACTTCGCGTTGCGCAAGTATCTTTTTCGGGCGACATAATTAGATAACAGTGGGGGTAAAACCAATAATTTCTTGCAGCTAAAAAACCACAACTTTCTGTCTGGAGTGGAGTGAAATCTCATTCACGTATGAAGTACACGGCAAATAACTGCCGGTTGCCTGGCCGAAACCGGCTGCACACATCATGAATACCTCCGCCGTTAAGCCCTCAGGTAATCGAGCGACAAAGTGCACAATGTCATTTGAATGTGGTGAACGAAGGAGAACTCGATAACGTCATAAAACTCGTAGGCACAACAGTCAATTGCATTATTTCGGCAAGTAGACGTAAGCACCTAAGATGACATGCGAACGTGGCAGACTTACTGCAGAAGTCAGTCAGAGAGCTAGAATTTGCTATCCAAGCTTGGAGACCCTGGAACGCGAAGGACCTCAGCATCCTTGAAAGGGTTCAAAGGCGTGCAACGAAACTTGTGGCAGGACAGGGTTCACTACCATATGCAACGCGGTTAGCTAACCTTCATCTCTTTCCTTTGAGTTACAGGCAGTTACGGGGTGACCTGATACAAGTCTTCCGTATCATACGCGGTCAGGACTGCAGCCTCGTACCGGGTGACTTCTTCGAGTTAGCAACCACCACAAATCTACGAGGCCATCCATTCAAACTACGTGTGACAGGGGCCAGACTGGACACACGAAAGTTCTTCTTCTCCAACAGAGTGGTAGAAGCCTGGAGTGCCCTGCCTGTGGATGTCGTTATGTCTGCTTCCGTCGAGGTTTTTAAGAGGAAGCTGGATTTGTGTAGCAGTGTGCACTAAATTACCACCTCGATCTCTGTAACCTCGACAAATTCCGCTATTATAATACTACTTGCTATATTTCAGTAACATTGTAAATTGAACGTATTATTGTACCAACCCATCGCCTACGCTTACTGACATGCACATATGCAAATTTTGTCCCCGGACATATTATTTATTTCGCTGCACTCGAAACGACAGCTCTACAACTGCTCGTACCACTAAAATTAGAGACAGTTTGTTTGTCTGTACAGACCTGACGCTTTTCCGATTATTTGTTCCTTTATGATACCTTTTCGAGTTTTTGAGATTTTGCAGTTGTTCGTAAACAAATAGGGAGTTCAAAAATGAAGACCTACATTTCCCTCAATAAACTGAACTGAACTGAACTGAACTGAACCACGTGCTGACTGCGAAAGCTTCTGAGTAGACAACGAGTGCGTGCAGATGAATCGGTAGTCTCAAGTGATGACGGTGTCTATAAATTCTGCATCCTTTGAAAGTGTTGCCTTGTTAAAAATACGTCCTCGTGACTCAGGTGGCTACAGCGTTTGCTGTACTAAAGACTCCCCCTTGCTGTAGTGTGTTCGAATCCCACCGAGAGGCCAAATTTTTCACAGTTGAATCAAATTGAAAAAAAAACGTCCATCAAATGCATGCACTAAATAATTAATTCAGCTCTTCCGGTACGCGCACAGCAGGGCCTGCGAGTGGTTTATTAGGTACCAAAGGACTCACTGGCATTACGAAGATATTCCAAACAAATTCCAGATAAGAACGCAGTAATTCGTCGTAACGTTTGAAGATGTTATCCTTTCCCTAGGTAACAGAGGACTGAGTAATAGACCTACATTAAGTTTGCAAATTGAGAAGTATGCACTTTGCCATCTTCTTTCACGTTCTGGTCGAAGAATGGGCTAAGGCCGCACAAACTTGACAGCAATTTCCCACACGCTAACCGTCAGTAGCTCATTTTGGTGTGGAGTTCTGAGAAAGATGTCATCGTCTGGCCTCACTTGACGTCTCGATTAGCAATCGAAAGATAACTTCGGCGGGAAGATCGAAGAACGTGAGTAATGATCCGTAATTTCGAGCCGCCCACAGGGCTCGATCACGTGCGCTGCTGTCATGTGAAACTGATTGCTAGCCGTGACGCACAGAACAAGATTCAGCATGAATGAGAGCTTCCATCAGAGTCATGCTAAGTTTCTAATTAGATTTAAATACGCCAGTGACATTGTTCATAAACCCGTCCTTTGTCTGACTACTCTGGTGTTACTGTTAAACGGTAAAGTGCGACGGACAGCCATATTCAGTCTATTATGATCCTTACTTAGATCGCGAATGAACAGATCAAGCAAACTGACAAAACGCCACTTTAACCCTACTTTCGAATTTAATTTACTTGGGATCACGTTTCTTATTCATTAGATGCTTGATTGCTGATCGTTGGGTTACTTGCACTACGTAATCTTAGTCATGTTTGAGGAAATCTTCTGCAATCGACCAATCAAAAAGAATTTTGCGCCTAGATATCTGCCCCTTTTTATGCTCATTTTCATCATGCGTACTTCACTTACTGTAAGTATTTTGTTTAAATGTGTATGCTCGATCATCTACAATAGAGGATTTTTACATTATTCCTGTGACACAGCTGGCGTTCAGCTTAGTAGCTGATAAGTAACTTTTGTCTCTATATGCACATTATTTGTTAATGCACTGCTTGTCGCAGACGCCATTTGCTTGGTGCTACTCTGTATTATTATAGTTTAGGTAAACATTTCTTATTTTTCGGTTTCATTCTTTACAGATCGCGCAGTTTGTGCTTAAAAATACTACTGAACTATAGCCAGTGGCCAAACACTGGAACTAGTACTCGAACTTCCGAAATTCATATTCTATGTTGAAGGATGACATACGTGGGCTTTATTGGCTATCCAGCTATATTTCGCAGTTCAGTTTTGGACATTCTGTGTTAGCAATTACGTAAAGAAGGTCGTAATTAAAAATCGATTTTGAACGGCCCCTTGGTTTACGCAAACATTCGGCCTAGGAGGTGAGTCAAGAGAATGTTAGCGAGTTAGCCAACAAGATGCCGAATAGGAATGTTACTAAGCATCCGACCGGACCATCAGACCATAGAGCGTCCTCATTAGGG